CCCCCCCCCCCCCCCCCCCCCCCCCAAAAAAAAAAAATACACAAAGGAAGTAAATTGGACCCCTTCACTTCCTTGGCTGTGGTCTTAGGCCTGCTCTCACCTTCTCGCATTGAGCTCTCGTTTCTCTCCCTACAGCGGTGTTTTTTGCGTTTTTGAGCTTTTCAGTTCTTGGAGTGGATATGAAAAAGGCATTGCTTTGGATTTGTGGGGGTGGTTGGGGGTTAGAGCAGAGGGTCATAGTGGGGGAGGGGGCGAGGTGACGCAGGTGCGAGGTTTCGGGAAGTAGAGGAATATTGTCCCAGTATTGATAGTGGCATTTTATAATTCGGATGCATTTTTTTATATAATGTATAGCGAGATGAGTAACACTGCCAGAGTAACTAAAGGAGTTCAACAAAAGGCCAGGAGATTTAATATGCATTTTACTAAACTACCTCAGGCTTTGGTACCTCAAAAAGATGATATATGAAAAAATGTTCCTCTTCTTTTTTTCTTTTATTTTGCTTTGTGGTATTTTGTATACTTTATAAAGCTAATAGTTGAACATTTTATTTTTTTAAGAAAATTTAAAATTTGGTCAGCTGCCAGCTGAGCGCATTCAGCTCTTATTTTACGAGTATATGTACATGTATATGTAATGAGCATGTATATAAAATTGTGTACATATAGGAGTATTTGGTAAAATGAGTTGCAGCGCCCCCGGCTGGTGGCTAACGGGAGTATTGAATTGAATTCGCCTCAGTTTTTCCTGAGGTCCTCAGCGCCATCTTCTGAACAAGACGCGTTACAGCAACAATTTAGATGCCGAATAATGCCAACATTACATACTGCAGCAATGCCGATTTTATTTGATTTTTTTTTTTTATTTAGGGACTTTGGGATTGATTCATTTTGGTGGTAATTTTTTTTTTTTTTTTATTTTCATTCAGTAGGGCAACAGTGGGGGTCTGGTAACGGGGCGAGGCTTGTGGGTCCTCCGTGCCTCATCGTTGCCGTCCCCTTTTCAAGTAATTAAAAAATATAATAATAAAGGAAATGTCTGCTCACCACATTCAAAGGGCAAGCATCACTGAGCTGAGTAGTTGCCATTGGTTCAGGATGGGTTACAAATACTTCCTTTTTTTTTTGTGTGTGTGTGTTCTGTCTTGTGTTGGTAGGGTTGGGGGATGGGGTGGGACGGCATTAAACCACAATGCACTGTCTGATCACGTTAGATATAGATACTGAAGGATGTACCTGCGAATGCAGCTGCGGTCATGTGACTCTCCGCGGTCATGTGACTGCACCGGGAGACTAGGCTTCTTTTTTTTCTTTTTCCCTTCTACCGAGCCAGAAGGCAATATAGATGGAGGAATCTTCAAGTCTAAATACAAGTAGTTCCTTGTCATGCAGAATGTAAATATGATTTTCGATTTGTGGTAAAGCGCTCTTATGCATCCATGCTTCCACAGTAGAACGCTGTCTACCTCAGCCGCGGGGCCGTGGCTGTGACGCCTGCCTGGTGCTCCCCCCCACAACCCCCCCACCCCCTCCCCGCGTGCTTCCACACCTCAGCCCCCCTCCCCTCCCCCCCCAGGAATGCTTCTCTGCATGAGACGGCGTGTGGTGTGCTGCCACTCTGACGAGGGGCGCAAGTGTCATTTTTAATTTTTCCTTCACGATTTATGATCTACCTCTTACACAGGTATTGAATTAGAGGCCTGTTTTTGTGTTTTCCTCCCCCTCCCCTGTTAGACTTAGGCTCATTTTTCCAAAAAGTGTACAAATTTAGAATCGAAAAGGGGAAGAATTCTGATTTATATTTTTTTGCTTGCATTTAGTAATTGATTTAAAGAACTAACCCTTCCTCCCCCCTTTCAGTACATAGTTGCTTCATTTTGCATAGATTTGTGAATGAAATGGTCAATACATGGTTTTTTATTTTGAGTGGAACAGTCAAAGGCTTGGGTTTTGTGACAGGTTTAAAGTCAACTTTTTTTTTTTTTTTTCCTCCCCGTTTCATTATCACAGATGAGTTTATACGTATTTGTTTGGAGTGATTTATCTAGGCTGTGGTAAATCATGTTTCTATTGGAATAACTGATTTGGGGATGGTTGAATGCGGTCCTGTAAAGCGCAAATCATCTGTCGAACTGTACTTGTGCCCCCCCCCAACACAGCTTCACTTGTCAATTGCCTCTGAATAAAGAAAATTTGGCTCCTCTCTGATTATCCCTCTTACTGTCTGAACACACAAAGCTCTTGAGTAATGAGGAGGCCTTCAAGCAATAACAAGGGAAAAAAAAGCAAATTTTATTAACCTTTTATGCCTCAAATGTTTTAAGTTATGAATTATTGAACAAGGTGCCTGGAAGCACAATTTTTATCTAGTCAGAAGTAACGGTACCACAGGTAGTCATGTTAACTGTCAGGCTGCAGCAGTAGATCGGGATGGAGTCCCAGTCCATTGCTTGAGTGTTAGTTCCTAAAGCGGTTTAATGGATGTTAAATGGGTCCCCCCCCCCCCCCTCAAAGCTAGCATGTGTAGGATAAGCTTAAAGCATAACCTTGTAGTGGTTGTGATACAGCAGGATTCCCCAGTTCCGGGCCCAGAGGCCCATTCCGCCCCGCAGATTTCCCTGCTCAGACACGCCTACTGAGCCTGGTAATTGGCCAGTGAGCTGAGTAAGATCCGCCAGGGAAATCGGCAAACCGTGTTGCGGACTAGCCCGCCTGGACCGGGATGGGGGAGCCCTGCAACACAGCCTCCCGTTAACTTTTTTTTTTTTTATTATTATTGGTTGCTATGGAAATGGTACTTTAATATGCTGGCGTTGCTGCTACTCGGGTGACACTGTCCGTCGGCCTCATGCACATCCGTGGTACTGAGCCACCGCTGTGGTGGGATGGCCTGGCTCTCCTGCCTCGAACCTCCTAAATGGGCCGCGGGTCACTCAGCAAGTGGCTCTTCTCTTCGTTTGCCTGGAAGAGCACCATCTTCAGCTGGCCCAGACGTGCCTTCAGCTGCCGGCTCTGCTGTTCCGCTGCCGCCCCCCGCCTCACTGGCCTATAAACCCTGTAGCGTCTGAGGAGAGATGGGCAGGCTTTATTAATGCCTGGGGGGCAGCGGGGTGAACGTGCCCTGTGTGCTGGGGGAGAAAGTGGTGAGCTGTAATGCTATTTGTACACCATGGGTTTGACTTATGGCCTTGGCTGAAGGTGCGTGATGATTGGTTTGTCCTGGCCTGGGGCCTGAACCTAAGGTTCATGCTCTGAGGCACGTACCTGTATACCATGGATGCTATGAAGGCGAAGATTGCTGCCAACACTGCACTAGTGCTCAGGACAACCACTGTCGCTTGCATTGGTTTGGATACTGTGGAGAAAGTCTTACATTAAGCAGGGTATTTGTCTCAAGAAATTTTACTCGTCCTGATCTATCTCCCGCGGGTTTTGATTGGCCTCGGCCGCCGTTTTTTAGACCAATCGTGGATGTGCATGTTGCCTGGCTCACCCGACCCCCCGCTTCCGATGGTGACGCGAGTGCTGGCCAGGGTGCGGCTGTGGGAGCCCGGTAAGCTGATGTTCACGCAGTAAGTCCCCGGCTGCTGGAAGGTTCGCCTCAGAGTCACCAGACACCTTTCCGAGGGAGGAACCGGGTCACAGATGATGTCCTTCACCTGCTTGCAGGCAGGGTCTGAGATGATTGTGCAGGCTGAGGTGGGGATGCTGGAATCAAGGAGAATGACAACGGAAAACAGGGATACCTAGGTAAGTAATACTATTAATATTACTGCTATTACTGCCCTAAATCCAGTCTTATTACTGACTTCACAGTGCCTAGAGGGAAGTGCCTTTGCTGCAGTTTAAGTTTCATGCATTTTCTTTATAACTAATAAATTATATGGGGAATAAAATTGCAATTGCAAATAACCTTGGGGTTAGAGGAAAATCAACATTTAAATAAAAAGCAGGCAAATGTGTAAGTATCTCCTTGTGAAGAATAGAGTGAGGCACTTAAACCAGGATGTGATGTATAAATGGCCCTTTTCAGAAGAACTATACTTTTGAGGAGATTCACTCACCTGCCCAAACACTCAATGAGGAAGTTCACAGTGGCGTTAGTCACCTTGGCTGCAGACACATCTACGATTTTAACGGCTTGCCTGTTCTTTTCCGTAGAATTGATTTCTGCAACATCCAAACCAAAGTTCAGACTCTGTACTGCTCAGGCAGTCAAAGGCTTAATGTCAGTTGTGACACCATTTTCAGTCTTTATAGCAGTAGATTAGTGACACCAAAGCTTGTCCGTAGTGGAAAATCGCCAAAGGTGAAATTGCCTTGCCAACACAATGCCCCCTCCGAAGATGCGGCAGTCTGGGGCACCATGTGTCACCTAATGGGTTGACTGACAATGACATTAAATCACGTTACGTTACATTAAACATAACCGATACTGATTCCAGTGTCATAGCTTTGTGGTGTCTGAAGGGATCTTTATATGAATCTTACAGGAAGGAAGGGAATCAAACTGGCTTGAGACTGAGATGAGTTTGAGGTAGAGAATTCAATATGAGAGAGACTGTTGTGTGAGAAACAGCGTCTAGCATGGTCTCACCGACGATGAAGATCTCGGTCTCGAAATTGCCATACATATTGCGGTAACACAATGCATCCAAGTGGTGGCTGTGATGAAACAAGGGTGCCGTGGTGGTCTTGGGGGAGGTGGAGGTCACGTTGAAGCCTGTGGTCACCTCAGGAGCCGTGGTGGTTGGCGGCTTAGTTGAGGATCCTGTTGTCATGTTGGGTTGAGTACTTGTGTGCCCTGTGGTGGCGGCTTTCGCCAAGGTGGAGGACGGTTCCGTTTATGTTGTGCTTCTCAAATAAGACGTATTTTAAAGCAGAGGTCCTCAAAATTTTCAACCGAAGAGTCAATTCACTGCCATTCAAATTGTTGGGGATGACTGAATGTGGGGATGTTGACTGTGCTTGGCAGGTAATATGATGGTAACTTGCCATTAGTCAGTGTAAAACAATACAACATCTAGACAGTATGAAGGAACCGAAGGTTTTGTTTTGATTTTGAATGTTTCTGTGGATACTACCCAGCTTTGCTTTGATATGTTTTTCCAATACGCACCTATGCATGTTAAATAACCTCGTTGTAAAGCATAAACCCCACTTACTGCTTGATGACGTTTCTCCTGTACTTGTGGAGGTATGAGACTCTGTAAAGAGGGTTGTGATAATGATTGGTGAGATAATGAAACCACAACATTCACAAGCATCACACATGGGAGTGGAAGGTAATGTTCCAGGAACCACAGTACTGCCCCTGGAGAGCCCTGAAGTTACCTGTGGTGTGTGACGATGTAAAGCTGGTGGTCATGGGCGTCAGCGTGGGGGTCGGGGTCGGTGTGGGCGGGGGGCAGGGCACAGGGAAGGCCGCCTTTACAGTGAGCTTCACGGTAGCGTTACCCACCGTGCTGTAGGCGTGCACGGCCACGTTGCTGTGCGTCACCAGTCGGTTGCCGTCGCTGAAGTCCCAGATGAAGTCCACGAAGGCGGCGGTTCTCAGATACTTGCTCGGGTCGTGGATCAGCACGTTGAAGATAATGTCTGAGTCCTTGATAAAGACGTTCTCTGACAGGTTAGCAGGCTTCTTCTGAGAGAGATTCACAGCTAATGGGATTTTATCTGTGGGGATGTAAATAAAATGACATTTTACATTTCTAAAATTAAATGGGTTCAGAAAGTCTTCTATTATATATTTATATTATACAGATTAAAAGGGATTTAGAAGGGATTGCAACTTTTTTGACAATTTTTTTAAATGTATTTGGGTCTAACATCTCTCTTCAGTTACTTAAGTTTATGAATTATGATTTAATTTGTTTTCTGTAGTAAATTAGTATTGGTAAACCAACAAAGCATTTACAGAATTAAGAAACCAATATTAGATTATTCTCCTTATTTGTACTCAAGGTGATTGTCTGCTTTACAGATTTGTGTTCAGCAGCACAGTTTTCCGCTTTTAGACAAAACTCATCAAACAATTCAGGGATAATCTGATTCTGTTAAGTGGGTCCCTGATTCTGTTAAGTGTCCCGAAACGGCAGAACTCACCGGTGACAAAATAGACCCCACTGTCACTGGCCACAGGACTGTACTTCCTGCGGGAATGGCTCTGATACACCACGACCTCCATTATATCTGCGCCCAGCGTGATGTTGGTGGTGTTCAGTGTGAGGCTGGAGAAGGAGCCCCCACATGTTTGATAGTACTGACCTGAGAGTGCGGATGGGGACATGGGGGTGGTTATGTTATGTAACGGGTGGAGGTTAAGTGTGTGTAGGTACGTCACATAAAAAAAACCTGATACTCAGGAATCAGGCTCAGATATCCTAGATACTGCGTGATGTTTCTGAACCAGAGTTCTTTACTACTTAAACATGACAGTGCTGTCAAGATGAACTGTGATCAAACATCATTTATAACATTTATTTTAGTTAATGATTTGATAAGCAATACAAATAGCTGAATGATTTCAAAAATTAAAGAGATTTGGTTCTTTAAAATTAATATTGATGTTATGTGTTTTTGTATGTTAATTGTTAAACAATAGCTCAAAGCCGACCAAGGAAATGTTGGTACTGCTTGCCGTCAAAAATCATTTGCACTGATTTGTCTGGTAGGTTGATCCTGCCTCCTCTAGTTGCTTGGTCCCACCTGCTCCACAGTCTCTCTAAACCAATCATTTTTCTTCCTGCCCTCAGAACATTTTTGTGCAAGTAAAACTCCCACGAGCTTAATCTTTAGTCGCTGCAACACTCCTTACCCATCGTGTGCCACACGTAGATGTAGTTCCTGCGTCTCCAGTCATTCCTCTGCGGAAAGGGAGTCCCATCGGGGAACACGTTGCACTTGGAAGGGTCTGGGCACTTGGTGAAGCCATAGTCCTCCATCCAGGAGGTCCAGCTGTACACATAACCAGAACGCGCCTGGCCATCGTCTGTCAGCAGGTGTAGAAAACAATGACGTAAGGCAGGAGCCGACACCATGGCAAACTGAGGGTCACTGTGATCAGAATGCAATTTTTACTACATATATGGTATTTTAAAAGTAGCCAACATAGTTATTGTTTGTCGGTTTATTTAACCATAGACACATTCTGCAATAATGACTGTAAACAGCCTAACTCACTCTGTTTTAATGAAGTACTTTCCTATAGTTGCTCCAGCTTTAAAAATTACCTGTTGTTAGATATAAAATATCCTTTTAATTAGAATGATACATAAACTGCGCCTGTCCCACCCGTCGACAACTTTTACCGTTGCAACGGTTGTGTGGCACGTGACTGACTGGCCTCCCATCCACGACGTCCTTTGCTTCCCGTAATAGGACCCAGACTCATTATCCTGTACAGGTAACGTAGGTATGGGAGATCGATGCTGTGTATACAATGCATACCGTCCTTGCAATGCTCATCGTAAACGAGATCGCCTCTGGCGTCCTCCTTCTGACACTTCGGAAACTGCAGAGTAGTGGTGAAGGTGATACACGACCCATTCATCGCAGGGCTGTCGCTTGTCAGGTGCGCGACTATGGGTTTGCCTATGGATGATATCTGATATAACATCGAGACAACGTGACAAACGTTTTCTTTGTATCTTGTACTTTTTCGAGAGCCGTACCTGTCCTATGTCTGGATTCGCCCGACTTGAAAGGCGGGTACAGGTAGTCGTCCCAGGGATTGCTGTCCGGACTCCATCCGGGTATTACGGGAGATTTAAACGCATGCGAATGTGAGAACATATCCCCGTATGCTTGGACAACAGGCGAAGGGAGAAATATTAAGTTGAGTTAATGTTCAAAATCCATAACCATTGATGGTCAAAATGAAATAAAATTTTTAAATGCTGCACAAATCGAATGAGTCATGTTAATTGTATTATAATGGAAATACAAATCGCGGGCGTGTTTCGACATCTATCTAAGGATCCCCTTAACAATTGTGTAGCCTATGGTTTAATTGCAACGTAAACATTACTACGCTACGTTATGCAAACCTAATTGATAACCCCCCTGAAAATGTAGGTACTTAACAAACAAAAAAATAGTAAAAACAAATTCAATGTGATCGGGGTTAAATAGCACGGTTTTCTACTCAAATTCTTATCGGACTATACGAAAGTCACCGTTTTTCACCAATACATGTTACGCAGTTAAATTTTCGTTTTAAAGGACGAACGAGAGAGTAAGAACAGGAGTGAGCAAAACCGCAGAAAGAAGAAAAACACCCATGTAAGTATATCCACAAGACACCTGCACATGACCGCTTACGGTGCGCGTAATTGGGCGCATGGGACCGTGGCTGAGTGTCACTGGAGTTCGCTGTCTGTTAATCCCGAGGTTTGGGCAACTTCGTTTCACGTATGTCACCTTTTAAAGCTTCCCTATTATTATTTGTAGTAATAGCATGTCATCTAGAAATATTAGTAGACAAAAATAGGTAACTTTATTTAATTACATCGCTGTTACTTACTTTTTCGCCCATCAGCTCGCAGAATACAAGGCGTGCAGACCAAAACAAATATCACTTGCAAAGCTCCCATTCTGAGTCGCGGGATGTAATTAGACGCACTTTCAGCAAACGCAAGAAATTTGCAGCACGGATGCTGTCGGACCTTCCTACTTCGCAACTGCTCCCCCAGCGAAACACACTTCTAATCCACTTCTTCCATAATTTAATAGCCCAGATTTAATCATGTGATGTTTATAACGAGTCACAGCCCGTCTCTTGTTAGTTTCCTCAAAACGCTCATGCGCCGTGACTGTCGACTTTCTCCCTGTTTTCTGCTGTGTAAGATCCAACACCAAAGCCGATAAATATTTCCCAAAAACAGCTATTTTTCCTTTTATGATAAACTTCATTATATATATCCCTTTTATGAAAATGTAGAATTGATAGATTCAATAATATCCGGTTTCAAATATATCATCGCAATAAATAAAAATTACAAAATGTTTCTGTGTGTTAAAGGGAAGAATAAAGTGTTACAATTTTAGCTGTACGGTCTTTCATTGTTATTTGATTAGTGTTTTCTGGGCAACTGCAAACTAAAAAGCAGAATGTTTTTCATATAACCTGATTAGTCTATATGTAATTGTTTATGATTCTATACCTTTACTTATTTATCTACACATATTTGATACAATTATCAAAACTGGCCAAGACCACCCCCTAATAATCATTTCTCCCCTTAAAGAGGAGACCTCATGGTGGTGACCCCCACCCTTGGTTCTATGCAGCAGAACACGTCTCAGATTATTATGGCCGTTTATCTTACCTTTAGACCAACGAAATAGTATCGTTTTCGTGTTGTTTTTGATCTGCTTTGAGGTCTGAATAATATCGGTTCAAATCGTGTAGAAATAATCAAATCAAGTTGCTGTATCGATATACGTTTAAAAAGGTTTTGATTCCGATACACAGCAGTATTTATTTATTGGAACAATATTGCTTATAATATGTTAAATATTTATGTCTTAAATAAAGAATTTTATATAAAAATTACTATATGCTTGGAATCTGCTTGACTTGCGTATTTCACTGTGGGGTAAAAACTGAGGTGACCGTTTGTGGTTTCTAACGTGGTGTCACTTGTGCAATATCTGGGCAACAGGCATCATCTGATCGAATGTTGGCTGGCGGCTGACAGAGATGATCTTATACCTTGTGAACAGGAAACACAAGTCGGCAAGTCTGCTGGCTGACACGAGTTCTTCAAAAACTCGGTATCAAAAAATTGCTGTTTCTTGTGGTTTCTGCGTGCATGCAAGTGACTAAACTGATTAGTGCTCTCTGTATATCCCAGCATTAATCCATCTGTGGGTAAACGATGAAATGAAAATGATCGTCATATGTCGAAGGAGTGATGAGAGATAAAGGCTGTAACACTGCAATCCAGTTCGCATTGTTCACGAAGTTAGACTATAGCCTATATTCAAAAATAAACGAAGGAGGCTTGTAATTGTATGTAATTTCGCATATAACAGGTTGGATTACATGGTTGATACACGGGGCGTATGAACCGTTTAGGGGTGCAAGGATTACGTGTGCCACCCAATATACCTTTGTATTTAAATTATAAAGTTTTGTCTCACCCCCCATTATCAATCTCCCTCCGATACCGTTATCTGGATATCTTTCTGGGTTTGTCCTGTTACAGAGTAAATCTCAAGGCACCACCAACCAAAACGAACTGCATCCAGATGAGCTTCAGTAACATCTAAATCAAATTAGATACAGTTCTGCAAACTCATAAGCTAATACTTTTTAAATGTTCTCTAAAAATGATACACGTATAAGTAGTTTTAGCTCCTAAAAATAAATATTCTTAAATGATATCATAACACGCACGATGGCTTTTATAATCATAAGTTTGTAATGTCAAACACCTTTAATTGTGTATTATAGATATAATATTATAGATATAAATGTAACACGTATTTTTCAATTCATGATGTAACACTATAAAGCACACTTATGAAACGCCTATTAGACGTAAAATACGATCAATTACAGCGCGAGTGATTAACAGTATTTGGATACTATTCCCTATTCGATATTCAATATCATACGGTTATCCTATTACAGATTAGGGTCCGTGAACCGTTGCAACTAATCTCATGATACGGAGGTTGAAAACACCAGGGAGTAAAGATGCAGTTAAGGCTGCACGTGTCATAGAGTATAAATAATAAAGAATAAAGTGACTAAGCTGGATGCGGTTATTTTATGTATTTTAGTCACGCCCCATTTTCTGTTCAAACAACTTAATGCCGAATTTAGTAGCTGCATATAGCTCGACAATGTAGACTTTGGAGCCCAATTCGCGGCACCGTCTTGAAAGCGGGGACGCGGGAGGGGTCTCACGTCACACTGTTAGAAAAAAGGGGACCAGTTTGTACCTTTGCTTGTCACTGGGACTGTACCCTCAAGGGTCTGCCAATTGTACCCTATAGCTGGTTAATGTACCGTTTAAGATACAGGAATGGACCATTGGGGTACATTAATGTTATTTGTACCTTGGGGATGTTCCTCTGAGTCCAGTTCTATACCGTAAATTAGACTAAAAGGTGCATTTACCTACAGCTATAAAAAAGATTGCTTTGATTGAAACGTCACCTACGGAACTACGTAGTCTAATATAATTACCGAGACTTTTCGTATAATGGAATGCTTTTGCTGAGTGACCTCATTAAAAATGTCGGTCATTTTTTAAATTTTATTTTGTTCTGTTCGGCAGTAACAGCTAGGAGGTAAGAAACACAAGCTGAGAATTTGTGTTATTAGATTGGCTGGGTTTTACCGGTTCATGTTGTCAGGAGATGTGATAAAATTCGGTTTTATTAAGAATGAGGGAAGTCAGCAAGCGCCACCTGGTGTACAAAGCTAACACCGAACGCATTTTACAAAATGCAAAGTTATAGTCGCTTTCCAGAACTTTTACGGAGCAACAGAAACTATTTCTTTGATTTATATGCTGCCACTGTTATATTGGCCTATACAAAATTATTATATTAAACGTATTTGTGTTTTATTGATATATGAATCACAATGGTGATCTCACGTTTTCCTTATGCCTATATGTGGAAACCATTAATTGAATTTATCATGGTCTTGAGAACTCCATTTTTATAGTCCTACCTAACCGAGTGAGAGAACTATAAAATAAACTGTCAGCGCCGGTTTGCTACCAGACCAACAGGGGGCAGCACAGAGAACGGTCGGCAGTTCAAGAAAACGGAAATAGATAAAGCCTGTTTTAAACCGCTACATTTTTATTGTCGTTATTGCCAGGGCCTTATAATGACCGTAACACCGGGGCTGGTACTCGACCGGGAGTGGGGGGGAGGGGGTAAATATTGTATGATGGTCAGTGATCGAAAAGGGGTACTTTCATCGTTCGAACAGAAGGGGAAGGCACCCCCACCCCCGCAAGTATCTGTTAATTAGGTAGCCTATGAATAACAGGCAATAAAAGCTCATTTAAATACTTACTTACATATTACCGGTTTTGTAACTAGCATAGACTATATGTGCTAAGCAATTGGGTCAACACTCCTTAAACCCGTGTGATAGTACAGACACTGAGACACGAATTTCCACTGAGCAGCTGAAACTCGCCAATTCTAAATTCTTCAAATTCCGTGGCTGTCAGAACAATTATTTGGATAGACGCTTGTAAGGTTGTATTTTTCTAAATACCCGATGCTTCACGGCTTCTTAAACCTAAGAGGTGTTTTTGGCATGGCTGAGGTAATATGGGATTCCTAAATATTGTGCCCCACCAGAAAGTGAATCCACAGCAGGTTAATAAGGTCCGTACTCAGGAATTACAAACTTCTCAGTACACGGAATGATGCATGGATGTGAAGGGCCGCCGAGCCGCCTCTATCGGATTTATAGCGCCGGCGGGAGGAAAAAGTAGCATAAATCAGCGGAAATAAATTTCGTACTGAGTCACATTCTGGATTTTTGCGGGTCGCAGAGCAGCCGTTTTGGGGGAGTGAGCGACGTGCACCGAACGAGCCCCAGACTGAAAGAATAACGCCGCCAGTCTGCGTCCCGACCTGGCAATCGGTGCGATTAGATAGGGAGGAGATTCCAGCGTCTGTATCGGTGAAGATCTGGGAGTCAGTGCTTACGGGTGTGGGAACTGGGAAGTAACACACAAATAACGATTCAATACCCCTGAATAGATTAAAATGTACGAACAATTATTAACACACAATCATTACTAGTTTTGGCAATTGTTGGAGTTTTTAAATAAGGCAAAAATTCGGGCTTTATAGCCTCATATACTGATAGCCTATCAGTCAAGCGCCGTCTGTATACCATGGCTGTATCAGGGCAAGTTCACATTAAATAGTTTTGGCAGATGTTAGGCTTTTATTAAAAAAATGTGGTGAAATGATAAAACAAAATTCACCAGTTGCTTAACAGATACATTTTTTTAAACTTAATTACAATAATGTGATAAAATTTCAAGCGGTACTCTATCACTATTGCTAATCGTTTTCTCCAGGGACCGTTTTTTGCCTGTAACTTTGAGCATCTTAATGATAGTGAGTTTTGTGGGTGACAGGAGGGAGATTTTAAAAGATCCTTTTTTTGCACACCACCCATTTTCTTCGGTCGACTGAATTTACAACTGCTTTACAATTTACAGCTGAACGCTCCCTTATTCGTATACACCTCGTACGCGGCTTAATGTTCACCGATGAAAGCGGATTAGCCCTCTCCAGATCTGACTGCACTGACCTTCAAATGCTTGCCGTTAAATATGGAACGAAACGCCACCGACCGAAAGGTCACCAAGAAGACACAGATAAATCAATGTAGCTTAAAACATGCACGCAGAGTAAAACGGCAAACGAGCTCCTTTAAAATGTGTCTGTCGTCAAGAGGGTTAATTTCAACGAGATGCTGTGAAATATGAGTTTGTATTAGGCTATGGTCTGGAATGCGGGCTGGGAAAATGAAAACGTATCTGAGCAGAATATATGGAAAATTTGCCACACAGGTGGACTAGTCATTTAACAGGAATGTTTTATTCCACACGGTTGTCACGCGCAATGTCCAGATGTCTGTATGCTTCCCTGTTCCTGGATCACGTATCATACTGAAATGTCCCATCATAGATTCTGCACCGCAAAACTTATTTTCTCGTTTTTTTTTAAACCCAACACATCATTTTCGCTTCAATCCTAATCAAACGCTACATATTAATATTCTCACATTTTTTCACATTGTGATTCGGGCATCATTTTTGAACAACTGTCATTATTGTTATTGAGCAAATATAACTATGTTCTGGAAGAACGAACTTGTTTGAATGATAACTGAAACGATATGTCGGTCAAGCGCTGTGTTGAGATGTCTGAAATCGTACATCTTTTATACTGTATCACATTTTGTGGTACCTTAGTGTGACCAAGTGTGTTCTTACAGTACCTCATAATAATCACCCTCTCAGTGCTGTCATTAATTAAAAAGACAGGGATTTAATTAACTTCAACGTTGCAGATTTTTTAAATGACAGATTTTGACGAAATATTCCAAGTTATAGGTCTAGCCTACAACAAACTCACAAGGAGGCCTGGGTGTATTACTTTGTTTTATTATTAGAAAATGTAAAATCACGTCGGAAAAAGAAGGAACAGCAAAGTTAGCCAGGAATCAGTTTGAAGAAATCGTGTCTGGTGCTGCACCGAGAAACAGGCGGGGCAGCCAGCTGGCCGGGAGAAGCAGCCTTCATGTGCATCCGCCTCTCCGGCGTGAGAGCATGTTAGGTCACGGCGTCCATAACCTCACAGAAAGATCTGAAAGAATCGGGAAATCCACACTGGAATTCCTCTCACCACTTGGCCAGTTACTCAGGTCTCCCGGCGCTTCATTTTAGTGTCAATATCACATATCATTCCAATGGCAAAGTAAATCTTCACTCTCAGCAATCAGATGTTAATTAATCGTTTTAGTGGTAGTTCCATTCCGAAGTGCCGTAGTAAACATCAGAAAACCTTGGATCACTCGAATTAAAATTTCACTCAATAAAACAATCCTTAGTTTTTGATCGTTATGAGTGATTGCCTCTCGCACTAGGACCGGGAGGAATATTGGACGATGAATATTTTCATAAGATCTTGTTTGGGTTGTGCTAAAGATTGGCAGCAAAACGGGACGGAAAGCATTTAATACGACGTCCAGACTTTAACTAGCTGCACATAAAGATTAATCGTGCGCTGTAGGAAATTGTCTCAGGACATTTCAAATATTATGAAAACAATATGAATTTAAAGAAACGATTAGAAAAAAATACTTGAATTCTAAGATTATAGTTGCGAACGAAAATAAGGAAATTATTTAACATTTACGAGAACGACACAAAAACATTCCTTAGTAGGGAACAACTTGTTTTGCGTTATAATGTCCCACTGTCTTGTATGCTTACTTAGGCGCGTCGTTTCCTTGCTATGAAGTTTCATGTCGCTTGTTCAGCATGAGTTTCCGATGTAGGCACAAATTGTGTAGGTCGCCGCTTCTCTGTTTCTGGCTGGTACTTGCCTTCGTTGTGGTGATGGTGCTGTTCGTCGATCCACTTTTCACAGACTTGTCAAGGAAGACGGCAAGTTCTCACCATCGCCAAAGACATCTCGGTTCTCCCGACTTGGAGGTGATCGTGGACCCCAGAGACCAAGGCAGAGGTGCCCTGTCAGATCTGGGGTTTCTGAAAGATGATCAGCTGATAATTGCATCGTCAGGTCTTAGAAGGAATCCCCCCGGGCAAAAGATGAGTTACAAGGCGGTGCAATCATACGCCAAGAGAGATACGGCTGTGCTCCCGCCTGCGCACGGCGACCCGGGAAGAGCTGAGCGCCTGAAACTGGACGAGCTGGAAAAAGACGCCGAGGACTTGGAAATTAAGGAACAGGGCTTCAACGAGGCAGTTAGTGAAAGAATTTCGCTCCGCCGAAGACTCCCGGAGGTGCGCCATCCCGCGTAAGTATCTGACATATACGTTGCATGAAAACGACAAAAGCAAATAATTATAAGCACATTTAAAAGTGCATTTTATTTCGCAGTAAAAAAAAGAGTTGTTTTTCAGCATGCAGGCATTTTAAAGTTTGATCACCGTCCAGGCATCCGTTTATTTTCATTTTAAGTGTTCTTGTCCCGGCCAGATGCCTTTCTTGGCAGCACAGCGCCTCCCTCCCCTCAGCCACGGTCATCATCTGCTTCCATAACGAAGCCTGGTCCACGCTACTGAGGACCGTGCACAGCGTCCTGGACACGGCGCCCAGGCAGCACCTGCGGGAAATCATCCTGGTGGACGATCTTAGCCAGCTCGGTGCGACCGCCGTCTGTCCGCTGTCACAAGCTCTTAGTGCAGTAAGAGTCTCTGCAATAAGCGCGCGGGGGGGGGGGTGGGTGTATTTAGAGAAAGTTATAGGCAGGAAAAACAGACGCAGGAAAGATCCGGAGTAAGACAGAGCGTGGTGTCAGAATATCACTTCAAGGTTTTGATTAGTCCCATTTCATCCCCTTATCACCCCCGCGCCATATTACAGGGCACCTGAAGAGTGCTCTGGGAGAGTACGTGTCCAAGCTGGAGGGGGTGCGCCTGATCCGGAGCTCGCGGCGGTTGGGCGTGGTTGGCTGCCGCATGCTGGGCGCCGCTCGCGCCTTGGGCGAGGTCCTCATGTTCCTGGACTCCCACTGCGAGTGCCAACGGGGCTGGCTGGAGCCGCTGTTGGAGCGTATCGCTGGGGACAGGTAGGCGGGCTGCTCAACCTGGGGACAGGTAGGGGACATGGGCTCCCCTTGCGGACAGATATGGTACATGGGCTCCCCCTGGGGACAGAATTTCTAATTATGCCTGTGGGTGTACGCCAGCTACGCCTGTGGGTGTATGTTAACTATGCCTGTGGTTGTACCCCATACTGCTGCTTCCTAGTGCTGTTTCTGGAGGGCGGCAGTAAAGGGGGGGGGGCTTATAGGTCAGCCCGCTCTCCACAGCATCCCTCCGCATAAACTACTCCACTTACTCCACTTTGCTCCTTTTGGTAAAGCAGCCGAGAGTCTGTGGTTTACAGACTGACATCTCGCCAAGCATTGTTTTGGGCAGCAGACACACCAAGTGAGTCCCAGAAAGTTTGGAGCTGCACACAACATGGGGGGAAACCAGCATTTTCTCTGAAGCTGTTACAGTACATTTTCAGAGATGCTGCGGTAATCAGTAATCAGTGGCTATTTGGGGCCACTCATCAGACCCCCTGGGACGCTCACTTGTCAAAAATGATGGGTGGTAACTATGGTAACCGAAAGGTTTGCCACCTGCGTGGTTTGTGGTATTGTAGCAATCAAGTCTAAATTGAATCCCCACTTAATCCACAAATATCTTAAACCCATTCAACATGAGACTAACAATAAAAATCTGAAATATAGTCAAAGTCAGGTGAGGCAAAGCAAACTCTGGGTTTGATTCCTCTGCCCTTGCTGACGTCAGCATTAGGGCTCTGAATGGTGATTCTATAATCAGCCTCTTGGTTTTCCAGGAAACTAAGCCGTTTACCGGTTCATGGTTGGAGGTGGAGTTGTGGGTGTGAGACTTTTAATGGGCTCCTGGCCAGACTGTCATGGGTTCCAAGGTGGCTGACTAGGCTACAGAGATGGAACTTCACACACAGCATTCAGAGCTGACTCGAGGCCTTTCCTTGCTCTCGGACTGAACCATCGCACCAATCCATGCCCGCCCCAGGAGTCGCATAGTATCGCCGCTAATGGACCATATCGACTGGAACACCTTCCAGTACAATGCGACAGCAGGGCCCATGAGGGGAGTCTTCGACTGGAACCTGGACTTCCACTGGGAAACACTGCCTGGTCAGGAAGAGCAGGATCACTCCATCCAGCCCATACGGTAAGAGAGAATGGTGTCTGAAATACACAGGTGTATCAGCCAGGGTGACATATTCAGAAGAAATGAGAGACCCATGGTGGGTGGGATTAGCTTGCATTCTCAACCACTGATTGGTCAGACACATTACTTGCAGAAAGTTTATTGGTTTACTGGTATATGAATTCCTGTTTTCATTGGTTTAAACCATGTGGAAACTGAAGCTCCCAGCAATAAAACCCAAACTGGCTTTTCAAACTTCCCCATCTGTCATCACTATCTAATGCAAAATACGCTGATTACATTGGACTGAAAAATCACAGACGGACCTCCTAAAAGTTCCCTTTTCAGTCAGATTGCTGACTTTTTCCTTTTGTTTAATGGTAGATTGCAAAAGCCGTTTAAAAAGCTCAGTCACCCGATTATTTCAGAACAAAGGAAAATACCCCCCCCCCCCCCCGATGATGAGACAGTGACCTCTGCTGTCTGACCATGATGAGTGTTTCCCACAGCTGAGTTGTTACTGACCTGTAGCTGTAAATGAACGAGTGGTTCCACATTACCGCTTCTAACAACTGCCCTTTATAGAGTTCGGCTGCATTCACAGGCCCCCAATTCAGTTTATTTCTCTGTGCCGTTGGTGGCCCCCGTCATGCAGAACAAAGATGGCCATGCCAGAAATAATGGACTTATTTGGCCGAGCAGAGCGGAATGAAAAGACAGTGGCTGGTTTGGCAGGCGAGCTGTCTGGTAATCGTGTAATCGCGTAATCGTGTAATTGTGTAATCGTGTACCCCCTCCACCTCTTCCCCAAGGAGTCCTGCTGTCGCTGGAGTTTTTGCCATCGACAAAAACTTTTTCCAGAGGATTGGGGCCTACGATCCGGGCATGGTGCTCTGGGGGGTTGAGAACATCGAGCTCTCTATCAGGGTATGAGGAAATGTCCCCTCCTTTTGATCTATCGTGTCCTTCATGCTGAAGGGGTGTCACCGTACATGTCACCATATTATTGGGAATCCTGCGCCTTAGGTGTGGCTGTGTGGAGGGTCCATTGAGGTGGCCCCCTGTTCTCGTGTGGGACACCTGCATCACACGCATCTGCCCTACACCTTCCCTGACGATGATATCGTGGAGAGGAACAAGATCCGTGTAGCGGAAACCTGGCTGGACGAATACAGGAAGATCTTCTATGAGAGGAATATGATGGCCTACTTTATCTGGCGGGTGTGTGTCTCCGTGCCGCGACTTCATAGGAAGCCCTGTGGGTGGTGTACGCGTTTGAGTGTGTTATCGAGGTGCAAGGGTGATAGACGGGTATGACACAGGTTTGTGTGGGGCATGAGCAGGTATATATTGCTGCAGCTGGGAGCTGAGTGTCGAGTGGGAGGGGCAATGTCAAGTGGGAGGGGCAATGTCAAGTAGGAGGGGTCTATCACGAGGGGTAGGAGGGGTTTATAACAAGGGTTAGAGTATCAGATGATAACAGGACCCTTATTATAAACCCCTCCCACTCGACATTGCCCCTCCCACTCGACATTCAGTTCCTGGCTGCAGCGGCATGCCTTGCACTGTGGGTGTGCCTGCCAGGGAGAGCGTGACTGTCTGTCCAATGCTGTGTTGGCAGTCTGAGAGCTTGAACTGCACTGAGAGGGTGAAGCTGAGAGACACTTTAGGCTGCAAGAACTTCCAGTGGTACCTGTCCAACGTCCATCCCGAGCGCTACGTCCCACAGGACCGGACCGGGCTCTCAGGAGAGGCAAGACTCACTTATGTCTGATAGTCTCACAGAGACAAATGAAATACACATTGTTTACAAATAACTTATTTGTGTAAGGAAGGAAATGCACCAATAAAGCTCTTTAATGATATTACTGAATATATTACTGAATATTCCACCTGAAGTAATGAATAAAAGGCGGTATCAGCATTGATAGTGGTCAATCGCAACGCTTCGCTTTATATCATTTTAATATTAGTATGTTTGAGCATAATGCTACCTGTGTGATGCTGTGATATCATTGTACAAATGTCTGTCTGATTTTAATATATTTTGTAACACCTGTATGCTTGAAGCTATACAATGTTGGCACTGGCTATTGTGCAGATTACAAGAAAGGGTGGAGTTCATGGGTCAGGGCTGTGAATGTGTCACCCTGCAGCGGTAATGGAAACCAGGTACCGTGTGACTTTTTTTTCAGCTCACAGTCAACACTGAATTGTGTTACATAATGTAAAATAAGTCTGAATTATGGGTGTGAGTTATGGTATTGCTGTGTCTTTCTTGTTTCGCTTATGGTAACTTTTATGTACTTTGGTGGCATTCTACTGGTGTTACTGAGGAGCTGCAGTGATGACTGGAGTGAAGCTCTGTTAGAGCTATGGTTGATGAATGTCTCATGTTGGTCACATGATGGTTACATATACCTATGACTACTCCCACAGCACTGTGAGCTGAACTCTCTGAGAGAGATTCGCTGGGGGACAACGGGGCAGCTGTGTTTTGACGTCCTGGGGGAGCAGGTTGTGCTCTCCAGATGCCCCCCCGGAGGCGACACAGATGCCAGGCTGCAGTGGAGCTTCACGAAGGTGAAAGTGCCACACAGGAGAGTCAGCTGGCACCCATGCCCCGACTAGGGGGTGCTGAGAACTCCACCCCTGGCTAATCGGCTTTATTCCGATCTCAGAGCAGGCAGATGGTCCACTTGCTGACGGAGAAGTGCATGGAGGCCGTAAAGGCGGGAGAAAACCCCACGTGGAAGCTGGCCGAACAAGCCCAAGTGGCAGGGATCTGGGGGGCGCTGCTCCTCCGGCCCTGTCGCCCCCACCCCAGGCAGCAGTGGCACTTCGAGCAGCTGGCTGACCTGAGAGGATCCTGAATGGGAAACGAGGCCGGCAAGTCGGTGTGATGACCGAGCTGATGCAGTGTTGCATAATGAGCCTCATATGCAGCTTGTGGTAGAATGACAGTTTGGAGTAATTCATTAGAGCTGGTCAGAAAATGAAAATGTCCCTTTTTCCCAGTTCTGTGTGGCTCTCAGTTTGATGTAACCCCCCCCCATTTTGCCTGTCCAGATGGCTTGAAGGCAGGCTGATCGTTCCTCCGACGCAGCTCATGCCAAGCATCTAATCACACCGGCTTTTTTTATACTCAGTGGGGACATTGTGCCTTGCATGAGCGAGGAGCTCCCATTGGACGACCGGTGCATCATGTGCTGCAGGCATCCGATGTAAACATTTGGTGCTGGTGCAGAACAATGCCAGATGTGCTGTTTTCTACAGATGTCCCTTACATTTCTGGGCATAGTGTCTGTACAAGTGTTTCATTATTGGACAAGACAGCATTTCCAACATTAAATATGGATGCAGTGGTTCCTGGAAAGTGCAGTTGGTATGTGTTAGAAGTCGATTATTGCACATTTAAGACTGAAAACCACTCTTACGGTTTGCAAAAGAATATGTATTATTTTTTTAAAACAACCTAGGTTGCCTTGTATTTGGTTTCACTATTGTTTTAAGAAAATGGAGAAGTGATACTTGCCATTTTACCCACTGTGCTATGACTTAAGTGAATTGAGGCGTATCACTCAATAATTATTTACTTATGTACATATCATTAAAAGTAAGAAGAAACACAAAAGGGCTAACTACTTTTACTTGGTGTATTAAATGTCCATAGAATCAATTAGTTCTTTTATTATCATTGTAAAATATCTAGAAATATAAAATGTTTTAATAAAAGCAGTTTGAAAAGACGTAGGCCTATTTGTGATTTTTATGCTGTTTTTGTCGAAATTTTAATAGCACTATTATATATGTGTTATTCTTATGATATCCACAGATGCTTATAATACTGCGATAAGCGTAACGACTACGTGGTAATACAGAAATGCATATAGTTAAATATTCTCTATGCCTTTCACTAAAATAAGAGGAACTGGAAATGCATCGAAAATGTATGGGGAGGAAGGCATTCCGAGTGCACCAATAGGTATGTACTTCCGGTGTTAAGCGGTCTGACAGCTTACCGCGTGACAAAGGTCATTGGATTTCTGGAATGACGATTGTATGAAGTTTCATCATACTCAGGTAGATTTATTTGGTGAAATAAACAGTTTTGTTTTAAAAACTGTATTCGAAATGTCGTGTATGTGTATCGGCAAATACACAATATTAAAGAAGCATGGAATGGGGTAAATGTATTAATGTAGCCGGCTTATTTTATTGCGATAGACATTTGTTATAGAAAAGAAAAATCCTGTTCTGCAACTTACATATGTCGAAGAATGCTGTATTACTTTGTATATACTTTGTATATCATGGTCCGAGCCATTTTGACTAATGCTGTATAGTTAGTTTATGATATGATATTGATATTGACATAACTGTCCGCTTGTCACTTTAAAACAACGTTTGCTCTCAAAAATAACGACGCCTAAATGTGATCACACCCACAGTGCGTGCATGTATCCGCGTTGGTGTGTGTAGTATTACTTGTTCAGTGACATGTTTGTCCTTCGTTTCGTGCTTGTGCAGTGACTGTCACCCACATCAGGCGCCGCGATGAGCGTGCGCTGCTTCCTGGGACCGGCGGCCACCATCTTCAGCCCTTCGGGGGTATGCGGACTGCTACGACCCCGCTCTTTGCATCCATGTGCGGCCGCAAGGTGAGCCCCCATCTGCAAGCTTACCCGCTTAGGGGTCAGTCACGTGCTCCGTATTGACCTCGGGTTAATAGTTCGGCTGGTAATTTGTCTTACCGTTTTAGAAAAATGATGTCCACAAGGCAGAAAGACCATCTGGAGCGGACGGCCACCAACCACAGGCAAACAGTAAGTGTATTCTCACATGAGCGTAAACCGCCCCCCCCCCTCCCCTTCAAAAAAATCAGAACGGGCCAATGCAACTACCCCCCCCATAATCATAATGTAATGACGAATGGGTGAGGACCTCACCGCCCCACCCATGTTCAGTCCAAAGTTATGTGCTTGATTCTTAATAATGGAATTATGATGTATATTAGACCTACTATAATATTATTACAACAAAACTGTGCCATTTAAATGGATGGTTACTGTAAAATTAAATACGTGTTTTTATGACTGATTATGATATTTTGCGCAGTGCTGTGCGTAACCTTAAGACCAGAGAAAGCTTGTGAGCGGGTTCTGGTGTGTATTCTTATAAAATGGAATTAAAACGCCCTCCTGCTTCACATGTTTTCCTCAGTTAAACCTACGTGATGTAAAAAGTTAAGCGGTAAATGATGCCCATAACGAGGGGGGATTTGGTTCATCTATAAAATGTGTTTGAAACCACAGGCCCTCTTCCCAGCAAAGGTGTGTGGGATCACAGAGGAGTCGGATACGGTGAGACGCCTCCGTCTGGCTGTCTCCGATCCCAAATTCACCTTTAAAGCTGGACAGTGGTGAGCGGGATGAGCTGGGGGGATGGAAGGCAGTACACCGCGTCTTTCTGTGGAATAACCTATAAAATTAATACAATGCAGGTTAGAAGTCAATACTTTGTCTATGAATTTGGCGCGTCAAATAATGTGCTATACTTGTGGTGGCCACAAGAGTGTGCTGTTGGACTTTGGCGCGTTAAAAATTGGGTGTGGGGGGGGGGGGGTTGGAGTAAAAAAAATCACACATGAAAGTCTGTTCTGATTAAAATGTTCGGTCACTCCATCCACAAAAGGTGTTCTCCAACCCGCTCCATATCACCACAGTATAGATTTTTCTATTCTGAATCAATACATTGATATAATATATTAAATAATACCAGATGATGTTGGACTCTGTCTGGCACCTGATCCAGCTTTGTAACACTGACCTCTTTTTCTAGCCTGATTAATTTCCTGTGCCCGTTCAGGGTGGACTTCTTCATCCCAGACCTTGCCACTGTCGGGGGGTTCTCCATCTGTTCCAGCCCTGGCCTCCTACGAAGGGAGGGAGTGATTGAGCTTGCTGTCAAGTACAGCCAGCATCCTCCTGCGCACTGGATTCACAGAGAGGTGAGGGCGCCCTCCACAGCATCGGGGGACCATTCGCAGCCAAAGCGGTCCGAGTGTCCAGATGTCTTGTTCTAAAGTCACATTGACCTATATCTACATTCCAGAATGTTTTGTTTTTTTCTCAGAGGAGTCTTTACTTTTTCAGTTCAAGCTCATGCCATTAGTCTCAAAATGCACTTGACTGTGCTGAATGGGTTCTTTTGGAAGATTAAAGATAAACGTCAGCATGCTTTTAATTCTTATCTAATTCGGGTCTCTTAAGTTCCCGCCCGACAGTTACGTATGAATGTGTGATGTGTGGTTCACTTCTGCTCGGCGACGGTCGTTTAACTTGTGGCTCTGTTTCCAATGTCGCTGTGGGTTTTGTACACCTTTCTGCCCTGTGCACCTCTCTTAATCTCTAAAACCCAAAGATCACCTTGCAAAATCACCAAGACAATCTTAACTAACACAGTGAGAAGCATCTCAGTGCCTCTGCTTGGGGCACAAAGTCTTGTGCTGCATATTATCCTTCCTGCAGCACCTTGAGCAAGACACAACCAAAAACGCTCAAGTTGAGCGTCCGTGAAAGGGTTAAATGGGAAGAGAGCTCGTCAGGGCAGCTGAGCAAACTTCTGTCAGCTCGGTAACGTTCTGAGCGCGCGCGGAATCCGCGTCTCTGACATCATCGCCTTGAATGGCGCGGCGTTCTCCCGCCAGCCGCGGTGTCCGATCGGCGTGGGCCACAATACGCGCCATTCTCAGTCCGCTGCTGCGGCCGTTAGGACACGTTTCTTCATTTGGCAGAAGTGCTGCCGACTGGGCTAATGAGGTCTCCGGTCTGTCCGGGAGACGGATCGCCAAAACGCCAACTGTTTCCCCCCGTCGTCTGCTGACTATTAATTAAAGAGCTCGAAAATTATTTCCTGAGACGTGGGGAAGGAGTCGATCTGATATTCGTCTGACGTGCAAAACATGGCTTTTCTCATTAGATGGCAGTTTGGCTAATTAAGTTTCCGTGTATCATTTGCTATCGTTAGAATGACCTCTGTGTGTCAAACAGGAAGTTAATTATAACACTATATCATTTAAATGTTGTTTATATATATGTATGTATATAATTTTTAGGGGTGGTTCACAGTCTTCCACAGGCCGAAAATGTGTAACTGCCTCTTTTCGTTTGTGTAGTTGGATGGATGACAAAACGAACATTGTTTGCAGAAGCTGGGTAGAGTTTATGGGCTGAAACTTGGCAACTGGAGGGTGGTCTGGGTGTTTATTGCGGTGCCGTCTTGTTGGACCGAGCGGAATGTGACAGAATGATGTCGTGGGCTGCGCCTCGTGCGAGCGGAAACCTTGTGCTGGGGACTGCCTCTCCGCCCCCCACCCATATGCGCACCGCGTCCGTTGGCGCCCGCTGGAAGAAAAAAAAAGAAACCTCATGAATATTTATGAGAATCTGTCTCCGTGGGACGGCACATGGCGACGCCAGGCAGTACTGCTTCGCACTCCCACTCAGTACCACCGGGGGGCATATTACTGAGGGGCTGTTACCCCGGCGCATAGCTCATGGTCGGCATATTTGATATTAAGTTCTTCCGAATGGGAATTAGGTTTGTTTTGGTCCATTAATGTCTCCAGTGCTGTTTGTTGTTTTTTTTCCACTTTTATTGCATTTTGCTGAATATCTGATGCTTTTATTTTTGTCATCTTGCATTTTTTACCGTTTATTTTTGTATTGACTTTTTCTCATTCTCCTGTATATTTTGCCGGATCTATTTAGTGTACATGCCTGGCTGAAGGGAGAAATACAAACTGTGAAACGCAAACTCAACTGGAAGATCGAGCGAGTGACTGATGTTTCGACGTGGTGCCATTACAGTGCCGTGTGGATTCAGAGGTGGCCCTCAGGGTGGGTGGAGACTTCTTCTTCGACCCGCAGCCCTTAGACCGGCCAGTTGACCTGCTCTTATTGGCCGGTGGGGTAGGGATCAACCCACTCTTCTCCATCCTGCTGCATGCAGCTGACCTGCTCCGTGAACACAGTGCCAATGGCGCCCCCTACCGGCCTGGCAGCATTCGTCTCTGCTATAGCGCCCGGAGCGTGCATGAGCTGCTCTTCAAGGTCAGTGCTTCTGGCCCCCTTCTGCACTTAGCATCTTGTCACCCCGTTATTCATTAGCTCAGTTGATGTGTTTGCTTGTGGGAGTTTTACCAAGACATCTGATTGGTTGGTCCCTCCTCCTCCAGTTGCTTGGACCCACCTCCTCTACAATCTGATTGGTTATCTCTCTGAACCAATCGTTTTTTTTTTCATTCTGCCCTCAGAACATTTTTGTGTAAGTAAAACTCCCATGAGCGATGTATTTAAGTGGTAGTTTTTAAACTATTAAATATTAATCGGTATTTTAGCATATCAGGGCCCCTCTGGGGATATGAACCAGCATCATCCTAGTTAAGAGTTCATGTCCTCAAGAGATGTACCCCCTCCTGCTTCCCTTTAGTATCTGTTGAACTTATGCAAATGAGAGTTGACATGTTGGAGGCCTTGCCGCCTTTCCTCCCTCTGGCCCCCTCAGAGCACCATCTTGGACTTGTGTCAGGAGTTCCCGGGAACGATATCCTGTGACTTCTTCGCGACAAGGCAGAGCGACACCGTCCAGCCGCACCTCGGACAGCACGTAAGAGGTGAGTCGGCAATCGGAGGCCGTGAGAAGCGTGTGGTCGGAAGGTTGCCAGTCCAAGTCCCAGGGCTGGCAGAGTGAAGTCACTGTTGGCCCCTTGAGTGGGGGCCCGTAGACCCCCAATTGCTCCGGGTCTTAATCAAAATGTAGGTTGCTTTGGATAAACGTAGCTGCAAAGTAAATTAAATGTAAATATTAGGTTCGTGTGCTTCCTCAGAGGGTAGGATAACGGAGCAGGTTCTCAAGGACCACCTGGAGAGAAAGGACCCCCAGTGCTACCTCTGTGGGCCGCCCCCCATGATCAACAGTATCTCAGACCGGCTGCTGCACCTCGGCCTGCCCCAGGACAGGATCCACTTTGAGAAGTGGTGGTAGCTCTGGCCAGCCTGCCAGCCAGGCTCCGCCCCCACCGTCCCCAGGGGCTCCACGCGGCGCCGCGTCGGCTGCCTTGTGTTTGAACCGAGCGTGCTTGCGCCACCAGCGGGTCCGCCCGTGTATCGCGGGGGTGCGGCTGGACGCCTCCCCACCAGCCGTTACGGAAAACGCACAGCTTGAAGGGACTCATGCCAGAATTTTTTTTTTTTTTTAATTAAATTCTTGTTGCAGCACTATTTCCATGTAAAGTATGTAATTCGTCCTTTGAAAATGAGTTTTTGGGCCGTTAGACAGGAAATTACCTCATATAAAACTGCGGTTTGCATCACATTTGAGTGAACAGACTTAATATAAATGAATATTATATTCAGTTTATTATTTGAATGCTTATCTGTACCATTTTATTAAAAAATGTATTTCAGCAACTAGTGTTGCTCTGTTGGTAGATGCTGGGTAATTTGATGACTTTGAGTTAATATTACCGGGGAGTTTGAAAGATGCATCTGTTGTTTACTGACGTTCGGGATTATTTTAGAAAAACATTTAAAAATGTGACAACTTGAAGACTCAAAAGTGCAAACTGCAAAGGTGATGATGGCAGATGGGGCAAACTAAATATCCCTTCAAATGTCCTGCTCTGATGCATACTGCTTTCCTTCGGGGAAGTTGTTTGCGTGACACCTTTACCCAGTTAACCCACTTCTGTTTGAGCTGGCACTTGCAGTCGCTCAGCTTCCTGTGAACAGTACAGCCATCCACCGTCCTATAGGCAGAGACGTTAATATCAGCCCTCCGACACACTGCGTTTTGGTCCTGCATCACATCATCGTTTTATAATAATATCTTTCTTTACATTGAATAAAGGTCACAGAATGTTGTTCTAGGTATTTAAAAAGGTCATATTTCCTTTTAATTCTCTTATCTTTTGTTTTAGAACAGAAGGCAGGAAGTGTTCAGATATTTGAGGTGATTAATTAAAAGACTGAGTCATCAGATCGTGCGTATATGTATATATATATATATATATGTGTGTGTGTGTATGTAAACAAATCAGTGTTTGATTCCATGTTTTGATATTTGTGTAAGTCGTGAGCTTACTGTGGCCACCAGGTGGCGGTGTTTCGAACAGACACCAGTGCATGGATGCTGTAGTGAGGCCTGGTAACATGGTGGCAGGCCACTTGGAGGGCTGTTTACATTCCATTTGCACAGTGAACATACTCTGCGGAGGCAGATTTTGGTCCTCTTTTTCCATGCCTTTTATTGCAGTAGGACAGTGTTAAAGGTATCCTACCTCTGCACTCCTTATTTTTGTAATGTATCAGAATGAAAAGCAACAGACATACCTCGTGAGCGATGTGCTTTACACAAACTGTCTCTAGCTGTGTAAACTGGTATAAATGTTAAATTCATGAAAACTGCTTGGGCTGCTAAGCAAATAAATTATGCGATGTCATATCCTGCGAGCAGTTATTGTGCGGCAGCCGGCGAAAACATCATTAGGATTCAGTAAAACGAATCCGCTCGTGTTTGAAATGTCATTGCGATTTTTAACGTGCTGCTCCGTACTCATAGGAGGGCGGATCCAGCACACGTGACATTAGGGTAGGTAAAAGCCCGCGTGGCAGAGCGTGAAGGAAAAGCGATTCTGGTGTGGGCTACACTCACCGGGGCAGCCGCCGTGGTGACGCTGCTGTTAAGATTTTGGAGGTAAACGTTACCTCCCACAAAGACCACAAACGTTTGGAAAATACACACATACTCCATTTTTGCCGACACTTACTTTCCTGTTCCTGTGTCATGGAACATCAATGGCTGCCTATGCTTGGAAAATCATCCGTCACGCAGAAAAAGTGCATGTTTAAAGCTTGCCATGTGAAACAGAGAGACAGACGCAACCGAGCGAATAGCGTCATCCACTAAAATGACCAGGATACATACGGACGAAACAAGTTTACGTCTCTCAGCCAAACGTTCAGCGAAGGACGAGGGATTTTCTGGCTTTATGTTTCTATGTTAAGGACACACCGGTGCGCAGTAGTTTCGTCAGTCATAATAACCAATCACTGTGGTAACGTAACCTTATCTTGGCCTAATTACCCGTGATTTTTAACTCTTAAACTTTGCCCATTATCGGTGTGGATTGGAATTGGCAAGGCATCACGAATAATTAACGATGGACAATGAGGGCCTTATCAGAGCCAAAGTGTTCCTGGAACATGAAATCCTGCACAAAGAGATGCCCCCCCCCCCGTGCCAGTGCCTCTCCTGACGTGCGGCAGAGGAGATGGTGGGAAACGATTTCCCTCGGCTCAGTCAGCGCAGTCCAGCGAACGCTGAAATCACTCCCATCTGTGGCTCTCAGTGGAAAATCCATAAACCGGTTCAAACAGCAGCCCCTCGGGCCACCTGCTGTCCACGGGATCTACCTCGTGCCCGGAACTCTCTGGGGTAGTGCAGGGTTTTGGAGAGAAGGGAGTGACGCATTGCTGAGGCACCGGTCACCCCCATGGTCGATGGCGAGGCTTTGGCCTGCTATGCAGTTGGGCTCACTCCGCCGACACTGAGATCTGATTTAGGGCCACTGCGGCGAGAGCGTCGCAGTGGCTGCCCTCGCAAGCTGGACACGGCTCCACATGCCAGTGCATGCGTGCATGCTGATGCAAAAGCCCATGTGTGTGTGGATGCTAACAGATATATGTATGCTAATGCAAATGCTAATACGCATGTGCACGCTATTGCAGACGCCTGTGTGTATGTGCACACTAATGCATATGCCTTTATATGTATATCTTTATATGTATGCTAATAGGTATGCTAATGTGTATATGCATATACCTATATGTATGTGCATGCTAATGCATAAGCTTCTGTATATGCTAACAGATGTATTCAGCCTATGCTATGCTAAAACAGCACTCAGTGTCCACGTAATACCATCGAGATCCAGCTGCTATAACTGGATGCACAATACTTGCTCCCATCAGTTAAAGAAAATCTGCGCAACACCTGCGCAACAGAGTAACTATTAATCTTTCTTTCACATTACTTATAACATACAGACCCCATTACAAGACCTGTCACAAAACTCTTACTTTTTTATAAACAAGACATTTTAGGTACTCAATACTTTTCTTGGTTACAATGCTTAAATGCCGCAGGCTGCACACATACACGACTCACTGTATGCCCATGTGACCAGAAACCATGTGACCTGCTTCTACCGCTACAACAGCAAATACAGAAACAGTGCGAACAGCGACAGATGTCCTCCGGGGACTGCTAGCTGCTGAGGCTACGTGTCCTTCTAAGCGCCAGGGAATGCGGCGGAATGTCAGCAGCGCAGCAATCCTGCATCCCTGCATCGTCCTCAGCGCATTTACACCACATATCTGTTACACATATGTCTTTGGAGTCTGTGAAGCTGTCTGGCAGGGATACTCAATTGAAAACATGACCTCAGATAAGTGGTTGTACTGAGCGCAACAGCCCAAGCTGCGGAATGGGCTGGCCAGCGCAGTCCCTGGAGTTGACTTGACTGAATTGTTTTCATGGTTTAGCGCATTTGCACAATCCTTTGGCATATGAATCCACCCCCAGGATGGCACAGTTTGGGGGGGGGGGGTTGCAGCATGGACATCCAGACAGGGTCCTCTAAGAACCTCCCTGCCTGATCACCATAGTCCTCATGGATCACCATGGTCCTCATACCCTGTCATGTTTCACACGATGATGAAAGACAAGGCTGTGAGATCTATATAGATCGTTATAGACTTTTTTAGGTCCCTGGGGCTGACCTTGGTCATCGGTCTGAGAAGCTGCCCTAGAGGGCCTTGACAACCCCACAATCTCCGTAAACAAAAGCACTTTTGCACAAACTATCAGCAGTATTAACTACACAGTTTCCCTCGGCTGGGTCTTGCGTGTCTTGTCAAGTTCTCCTCGGATAGCTTTGTGGTCAGCTTCTAGGTGAAGATTCTTAGTTATGCTGAGATTTCTGGGCTTGCAGAGCAGCCTGGATCTATGGCCTCTTGGCTCGGTCGTGATGTGGCATTGTCCTCACAAGCCCCGCCTCCAGCCTCATCATTGACTGGCCCTTCCTTCTGATGACCCTCACTTGTGACTCCACCTTCTTCTTCTTGATTAGTTGGTTCCTGAAGGGCTGCTTCTTTCATCTCTATGTCTGGCTTTACCTCTTTCTCTTCCTGGGTCTCCACCTCCGCCACACTTTCGTCACCAGTTTCTGCTTCTGGCCCACCCTTCCTCTCCTCCTCTTTGGTGTGTTTACCTGTGGCCGTTCTCTCGTTCTGCCTGTTTTCGTCGTTTTTCCTCTTAACTCTTTCTCCCTCTTCTCCCCTTTCCGTGCTCTCCACCTTCTCAGTCATCTCCTGCTCCTCCATCTCTTTCTCTGTCGCTGGGGAGCCGCTCTCCCTCTCGCTTTTGTTCTTCGGTGCGTCTTTCACCGACTTCTTACCTGACTTGCTCCGCGCTCTGAGACTCAGCTTCTGAAAAGAAACGAATCATGTTTGATGTTCACACGCTTGTCAGACTGCTACATATTCCATCATTGCACCCCATTCTCTGCGACGTTCCGAGTAAATAATGGAGGATTTCGCTTTGAAAACCTCGTTATTGCTGCACTACAGTAGCAGCATACTCCCACAATCCCCAGGACCTTCATGAAGTCCTCTAAAATGTGCTACTAGGCTTTGACTACCAAACTACCCCAGTGACATCAGTAAGAGACCCAATAAAGGACCCCGCAGGAGTCCTCGTATCCATCGGCATCAACTTTTTTTTTTTTTTATCATATTCCAGGAGAATGAACATAACATTATTTTAAAAAGTACAGCTGGAGAGGCTCATGAGGACCTGCTGGCCTAGAGCAGGGGCATCCAGAGATACAGAGGAACCGGTCACCTTGGAGTCCTTCTTCTTGTGGACCAGGATGGGCCTTTGGAGGAAGAGGATCTGCTTGGTGGCCAGGCTGCCATCCCTAAAAAAAGAGAGGAGGGTTATCAAGCAAACACCGTAACTCGCCAACCATCCAGTCTTGCGTTGTCAGGTTAAATGCGCTTAACCAACCAACATTAATTCACAAGCAGTGCTGGTCAACCCACAAGGCGATAGAGGCGGCTGCCTAGCCTGCCATCTTCTCAGAGGGTGCTGACTTAGCAAGCCAATGTCCACTCCATGTTAACCGGGGGGGGCGGGGGGTGAAGTTTGCTTAGGACACAACATGGGATTCAACCAGGACTGTCCAGTAGGGTCTCGGGGAGTTATCACAAGACGGCAAACGTATGTGCATCCCTTGGAAATCAGCAGACCTCTCTCTCTCGTGTGGAAGCGTCTCTCCACAATCGATAATCCTGTTAATGTGGAGCTCAGCATGAGTGGTGGGGGTGGACCTACCATTTCCGACAGCCAGACCGACTCCAACCAACGTCTCTGACTAGATTTCATTACTTCTCCAGGGGGAAGTTCAATGACTGTTTGGAAGTCGTGTATCAGGGAAGAGTCTTTGAGGCTTAAGGATCCCTGCTCATGCACAACCGTCTTTGGTACATAGATGCACGGGCATCTCATCTGGCAGCTGCCTGCTCCAGCATGAACCAACAGCAGCATGACAACAAACTGAGCTGTCCCTCCCAGCCAGACATCGAGGCAGCCGTCTAAGGCTCCGTCACACTGAGACTTGGCATTCACGGTGATCCCAGGGCCCAAAAAGGATCTGCCGTAGGATTCACCTACTTTATGGGGCTCAGCTGTTGAGAGTCCCATCCTCTCACATACGCACCACTCCTCCGTTTGGAGTCGCGCTCATTCATCCACTGTGGAATAGCTTTCCACACCACGCTGACCTGCTAAACACCGAAACAGGTCAACTGGTGTCCTCCTCCTCTATGGACGCTGAGACACAATGTATAAAACTGATGATGAATATCAAGCAAAGCAGAGCCCTCCTGGTCCACAGAGGGCGCTGCATCTCTGCTTCGTGATTAACAACCCCCCCTCTTTCAAGTGGACCCTGCAGTTCTGCAGTTGGACCGATCCGAACAGGCGGAGCACCCCCCATCGTGTCTCATGGTGCAGTCTGATTAATCGTGCGGCATTCCCCACGCTCAGTGCAGTGCAGTGGAGCCCCTGGAGGAAAAGTACAATCCTCCAGCGGGCAGATGTAATTAAGCAGGGCGCTCCAACGCCCGGCCAGTGATGAGATGAGCCAGACTTGGAGCATGGGTCCATCTTGGGGATTCGTAGGGGTGGTACATTTTACTTGGCATCCGTCTGAGGAAAGCATCTTACTTTTATCCAGAGCGACATATAATTGAGAAAGGAGGTTCAGCCAATTTGGACTTAAGGGACTAACTCAAGGGCCCAATGGTGACATGTTTCTACTGACTGTGGGATTTGAACCAACCACCTTCTGATCAGAGACAGAGATGCCTGCATTGGGTTTGATACCTGTTGGGTTTGATGATAGGTGTGGGCAGGACACACGTGAGCCTCCATCCATAGAGGGCCAGAGACTGCAGTAAGGGCACATAGTCAGTCTTCACCTCTGTGTTCTGTGGAGGGAGTGAACACACACACACGCACACACACACATATAAGCTGTTGAAATCTATTTAATCCACATGACAGGAGCGTGATGAGGGAGCAGTGCTCTGCACTCACGTTGATGATGGTCCACTGCTCCACCACAATGGCGTCATACGCCATGGGTTTGCTGGAATCCCCTTCCTGGAATACAAACACGCTCTCCACCAGCTTGCCGGGGAAATCTGCAGAGGGACACGTGGAAAAACACATTTACATTTGTTTTCCATGGCTGACTGACTTGCACGCTTCAGTTGTTCGTACAACTGGGTATTTAACTGGAGGCAACTCAGATTAGAGAGTCATCAAGGGTACAACAGCAATGCTCTCCTGCGATTTCAGTTGTCACCTTGTGGGTTATGAGTTCACCTTTTTAACTACTGCACTAACAATGCAAAGGTTGTGGGTTCAAGCCCCAGGGAGCACATACAAATTGTAACCCTTCCCTACTGTAAGTCATTTTAGATAGATGATTAAAAATGTTAATACTCTCTCAGTTTGCAAATTTACAAGCAGATGTTTTTCTTCTTGTTGCCATCTTTAGGCAAACATCTATGGTGATCCTGGTTCATACTGGGCAATAATCCATCTGCTCTGTGTTCGTCTGTGCCCCATACCATCTGGCCAATCAGGAGTCAGAGAGCTGTTTGATTGACAGCAAAGGGTGTGGGCGGGATCAATTTTCCTCAGACATGGACCTGCCTCTTTCATCCCTGGCCATATAAGCAGAGAAATCCACTCACCGATAAGACCGAGATCTACGCCGCAGCCCCGAAACCGCACGGCATTTCGGAGACATTCTTATCTACAGCTGCAGTAACGGCCGATGCAATTTTTAGCACGGTTGCTAGCTAAGCAGCACCGCACGGAATATGTCACTTCATCAGTCAGCGTGCCCGCCCAGTCAGCGTCTCTCTGTTCTCAGCTAATTGTATTTCTGGCAGATTACACGCGTTATTTCCCATAGCAGATTCTGCTAAACAAAGAGGAACAGAAATGTAACAGTAGCCAGGAGCCGACTTGATCTCCCGTATTTAGTTTTTTGTCGCTTACCGTAGTTAAATGTCAAGCCCAGTGTATCTGAGCACTTACGCTAATTTAATTTGTCTCCCTTTTTGATAAAAAAAAACAGCTCTTACTCCAGACAGACCTTCAGAGTTCTGGGCATTTTCAGGATTATTTTGATGTGTCGTGAATGTGGAGAGTACTGTTGTTGCTCTGGTGTGCGTTGCCGTGGCGATTGTGTATTGTTTTGGGTGTGAACATGTTCCCGGGTCTGGGGGCCTCTGTTATTATACAAATCCCCTCTGAAAGAAGATCCTCTTTTCTGGTTGACTGTTTGTATCAATTGGGAGGTTTCAGTTGGTACATTTTACCCCCCCCCCACGCGACTGACGCACACCCCAGCTTGCTGGTGGCTGGGGCGGCTTGGTTTGTGGATTTCAGTGGAGGTGGGGTGGGGGGGGTCATGAGAGGAGGCCACAGATTTGGGTGCATGGCGTGACATTGGACTAGTCTCCATGAATCTTGGGGGTGGGGGTGCTGCATCACAACCTCCCCATTATTGCCGTTCCTCCCCCTCCTGCCACCCCCTCGTCCCGGGTCATGTGGATAGTGATGTGAAAAACACAGACTCCGCAGAAATAGCAGGAAACATGTCAGTAGAAACTGTAGAGCAGAACAATTGCGGAGCCAGAATGGAGACCCAGTGAGGCCACGGGGGGGGGTGACATTGGCGACACTGAACCTGCACACAGCCGCATGTGATCCAGGCTCCAATGGAGGTGCTCTCTCCACACACAGTGAGTCACTATCTTTCCTTTGGTGTTTCTCGGCCAAATCGGACACTCCACCAGTATGAGGAAATAGCCGTTTGCTGGGAAGTTAGTGGGAGAAGCAGCCAACGGCTCGTGGTCCGTGACGGCCCAGTGCCAGATAGACCGGCAGCGCCGGGGGTGGTCCGAAGGTTTTGGCTGACATCTGTGTGGATCATCTCTGAGCGCGTGTGTGTGTGTGTGTGTGTGTGTGTCTGTGTACGCGTACCGCTGTCGTTCCCCAGGTGGAAGTATGCGTCGACCAACAAGGCACCGCTGGAAAAGTGCTGGGTCATGTGATCCAACCAGTTGGCGTCCACACTGCTGATGGCCCCGTTGCACAGCTGCACGCGCAGGGGCACCTTCACGGTGTAGTACCTCTGAAGGCTCGCTGGCGCCTCCATGTGGCTGAACAAGGCGAAGAGCTCCAACTCTGCGGGCAGGCGACAGGATAAGGTCAAGACAGACGAAAAAGGAAATGGTTTAAAACACCGGACGGATGACAAAAAAATAAGCAGTTTAAAACAAATATAAAAAACTGACTGCATTTTCCCCATTACCTTCTTTTATCCAGTACTTTACCACTCTATATCAGGGTAAACAACTCAAAGAAGTTATTTGTGGAATTTTTATATTTTTATCATTGATAAAGCAGTTCATTGCTGAAAACCAATTTCTTGCTACTTCACGAGTTCAATTTTCTTGTCCAATAGGAGCTCGCTGTTCATCAAACTGCTGGAAAAACTGCTGATGGTTCACCTGGGGGGGGGATGGGGGGGGGCCATGGGGGGGGGGTTGTTTTTGTGGCAACTTTTGTTTCTCTAAAACCGCTTTGTCTAAGAAGACACCCCAGGGGGGGGCGTTAGCGGGCAGACACCCCAGGGGGGGGCAGCTTAAATATGTGCACTCATTTCACTACACAAGGTGTCCAGGAGCCTGAACCGACAGCTCCAGCTGTAATGGGGGTATTAACAGGCCATGACCACCGGTAATAATATTAATAATAATAATAATAATAAAAATCTCACGGGGAGGGAGTTAAAGCTGATTATCCCCATCTGCTCACCCAAACTGGGGAGGGCAGAGCAGAACCTTCTGCTGATATTTTTAAGGAAGACAGACATCATAGGGCTCCCCGGAATGAGACCGCTGGACAGAATCGGAGCCAAGAGGCATCAGAGGCGCCCGGCGCCACACGGAAAGTGTCGCGTCTAATTAAGCGATTAGCGCCGTTCCATCTGGGTCATAGCGAGACGTAATGAACTGGTCACACCGCTACTCCTGGAGGCTGAAACGCGCAGGTGACACATAAGGGGGGCGTCAGTAGGGCGGCGATAGCGAGTGAGGCGGGGACACTCACTGCTGTGCTGCTTCGCAGGGCTCGCCTGACGTTCCCCTCCGCCCGATGATTTGTCCGGGTTGTTCTCACAGGTGGATGGAGAGCCGGTGCTGTTTTGGGAGGGGCTCTGCCCACTTTCATCCAGTTGGGCCTCAGGTTGGGTGTTTGGGCCCTTGGGGCCCTCGGGGGCCTCAGTCTCCTGTCTGTCCGGCGGACGGTCTCCACCTTCCTCCCTGGTTCCGTTCTCCATCTTTCGGTCCTGCTCCTCCGATCCAGATTGACGCTTGGGGCTCTCGATCTGGCTCTGGTCAGACCAGTCCCTCTGCACAGACGTTGGGCTGGAGTGGAGGGACAGGGAGAAGTCCTCCATCTCGCCTTGTCCTGAGGAACACAGCGCCTCCCCTGGCTGGTGGAGGAAGCCCGCGAAAAAGCTGCCCAGCTCTGCCACGTCCTGCACCTGCCGGAGCGAGAAACCTCACATGAACCTGAACGTGTCACAGCCGCAGAACCAGCCGCTGCCGCTAATGCTGAGGATATTAGCAAACCGAAACACGAGCATGCGTCACTTCTTTGGGATTTATAGAACTTGAGGATGATCTGGCGTGACAGACGTGAGGCGAAAGGGAATAATCCAGAAATAGATTGTTTATTTAAGTTTGCATTCAGGCTGGAGAGACGAATTTTACGAACCGCCTCTGCGAAGAGCCGCTACAGGAAGCCACTTTCGGATGGGGCGGCAGGCGATTTTCTGGAAAGATCCGAGCGCCGATCACTCATTCGACAAAACGGTGCTGCTCCAGTCTTTGACACCCCTAATTTTCTGAGGATACCGAGTCCCAGGGGGGGATAATCGACCCTCGTTAGTAAACCAAGCCACCCCAACGGAGCAAATCACCGTGACGACGTCATGTGGGGCATCTGAGGATGGCGGCGTGACAAACGACACCTTCGCCTGTACATTACGCCGTCACCCCGCCCGGGCAACACTGTTCACATTCCCGCCAGTGTCGGAGTAAACAAATCAGTGTTGGCACATTCTCACTGGGCGGGTGGGGGGGATTGACGACCCCAGCGCACACGGAGCGCCCCCAAGGACATTACCCACGGCGACAATCCTAAATTAATCGTCAGCTGGCATTTCCGAGACAATGCCAGAATGGAATTGTTAACCGCCAAGCGGCGGGGCTGCACCCCCCCGACTCCCCACCATTATCTCCCTTTAATAATGCCAAGCCGCCGGGCGCGACCGAGCCCCACCCCCCTGATGTGTGCATAAACACAACGAGATATTTGACCCACTGGCTGTTTAGCGTTAAATGACACTCGAAACAATAAAGCCAGCGATAACGGGGGTGGGGGGGCACCTATTCCTCCACCGTCACCAGAGGATCCTCTTCCACAGCGTGACAGTGCCATTTACCGTGAACACGGAGCGTGTGCGGAGGGGTGTAAATTCATATCAGTCTGAATGGAGGTGATAGAAGACCAGGGACTGTGCCAATGGAGTCTGGCACTGGTGAGACCGGCGCTGACAGGACCGTTTGGATGTGCCTGGCATCGGATTCGCGGAGGATCCCGGCCTTAATCCAGCGAATTTAGCTCATGTGACGAGCTGGAAACAGGTTTTGCGGGAATGAAACAGAATGAATTTGAGTCGCGGTAGTAATCAGAGAAATGCCGACCTCTCGGGGCATCGCGGTCCGGCGCCGATGGTGCTGCTTGGGATTCTGCGGCCCGTTTGTTTGCAATGTACGTCTTAGCGTTTAATGTTTAGTAACGTTTAGTTATAAGTAAAAATACTAGCTGGTAATCCTTTTAATGCAAACAATGATTAACCATACTGAGAGGTAGCCCAAAGGTTTTGAGTTCAAATCCCAGTAAGGGACCTGCTGATATACTCTTCAACATAGGTGCTACACTCACTCATCCATCCATCCATCCATCCATCCGTCCATCTGTACATTCCCAGTACAGTGCCACATAAATTGCTCCGGTAAATTCCAGTATCAGCCCCTTTCAGATGAGCATCAGCTAAAAACATTGACCTAAATTTAAGTTTTTTTCACCTATTTATATAGCAGGATATTACCTACTGATAGGTTCAGGTAAAAGTCCTTCCTCAAGGGTTCAACTGCACACCCCCTCCTGGGACCAGGCCCTGAATCTTCTCAGTTACATAAGCGCCGCCCTACCTGAAGCCTTTGGAAGAGGTCGGCCGTTAGCGGCAGACTGCTGACAAAACAGCGCTCATTAAATTTAAGAGAAAGCAGAACACAACAGAGCTGCATAAAAACAGACACAAAGAGGAAGCGTTACGTCTGGGCGCAGCCCATCCGACCAATAATACAATCCGTCCCCCGTCAGGCAGCCGCTGTTGCCTGAGCGACCTTGAGCGTGCTCTGCTCACACAGTTACGCCGTGCAGATCTGAGCGTAATGAGCCCAGCCCTCGCTCTCTATGAGCCTCCTGGGACCAGAAGCTGAAGCAGGTTGAAATGAGCTAGGCTTCACACTGCTGCCACCCAACGCTATTTACATACATGCAATTCAATTCCCAGGATTACATGGCAGCTTTTAATGTCTTCATTTACAGACTATAATCCCCTGCAATGTATTTGCATAAATTACGACTTACATATTTTTCTTTTAATTTTTCACTTTTTATGGTTGTTTTATAACTAGCGTCCCATTTGGGGAGCCGCCTGCCTCGTCCTGTCTCTGTGCTGCGGCAGGATTCAGGCTAGCAGTGACCCTGTGACCCTGTACTAAATAGCTGGTTACGTAATACGGGAGGGTGGACGAATGGTTGTTTTTACATTTTTACAACTTACAACTTGCCCCGTTCCCCCGTGATCCGCTATTTGACTGGCAGACCGGCCTGCCTCCCGGCCGGCCCTGGGTCTCACCTTCTTTATGTATCCGTGTATCAGCTCTGCATCTGGGAATCGCTCGGCGGACAGCACCAGGTCTGCCTCCAGATACTGGGCCTCACACTGGCTCTGGTTCTTCTCAGGACTGCAAGAAGGGTTTGGGGTTGAGGGACTGAGGGACGTCCAAATAATCCAGAACATTACACATTTTTCAAATTACACATTTCTGAAACGACTATTTAAACTATTATTAAAATAATATTATGACACATATTATGCTTACAGTGTGGTTGATAAACAGGCAAAACACGCCTTGTTTTTCATTTCCAATCCGGAATAGTGCCCCTTGAGCCTGCGGTTATTTATAACCAATGAAAAGCTCTATTTTTACGAGAGGAAATCCCAACATTCCATGAGGCCGGGAACCGTTCTTCCCATTGTCCGAGCTCCCATCCCGCTGATAGGAAGCGTAAGGTCATCCCGCTCCCCTCAAGGCGTCCAGCTTCCAGAAAAACTCCGTCGGCACACCCAGCCAATCCATGGCAATCACAAGGCAGTGGACATTAATCCCACCCTACGCTGCAAGACCACCGCATCGGCAGAACCGGCCTAAATCCCCCCAAAACCCTGACTGTCCGGGGCCCCGAGGCGGCTGTTAAAAAAGGCTTTGAAATCATCTCGCCTGGGCCTGGGATCCACAATGCCAGGCCCAGAAACATCAAGACAGCAAAAGGCTGTTGAAAATTGGAGCAGGATGGTATGGTTACCTCTGGGGTTTATTGTGAGGGGCCAGATCTGTCAGTGGCGCATGGATGGGAGGGAGAAAAGCTGAGACCTTAAGAAAAGACTCTCGCCGTATCACTGCTGCCCATGTTTTTCGATGGGACCCATCCATCTTGATGGGCCAGCTTGAGCAGCCACTTTTTATTGATCTGGGACACCAGTCCTTTGGCCAAACCCAGACAGTGGCTTTGATGCTCTTTCAATTCCTGGCCACGTGGGTTCTCACCGCCATGGTAAGGCTGTGCACCCCCCTCAGCTGAGGTTCACGCCTCTCAGCTGCTGTCCTAACACGTCCCAGGCTGTGCTGCCGTTTCACTAATGAAGGTAATTATAAAGCCCGCTAATCTCTCCCTGATGAGTGTATCTGGAGCCCTGGGCTTTGCGGGATGATCCTACAGCATTAGCTAATTATTAGTGTTAATAATTCAGTGTCCATCTCTCTTGGACTCTGGCTTTCATTATGGCCCCTCGCCATTGTGTGCCCCCCCCCCCAAAAAGCATGATGCCCTGCAAATATCAAGGGGGCAGGCGGCGATCGCTAAGCCCCTGGCAGAGGGTGATGTGACGTGACGACTTCCCTCCGAGCATCTCGACGGAACCCAGTATGGCCCATTTACTTACTTTTTAAATTAATTTTTAAGAGTGGTTACACAACAAATCAGGGCTAATTCAATTTCAGAGTAACTCAAATGCGTGGGGGGGGGGGGGGGGGGGGGGGGGGGGGG